CTTTTCCTTGACATACCTAGAGATGGTCTCTAGGATGAGCTCCTCCATCACCTTTCCAGGAACGGAGGTGAGGCTGATCAGCCTGTAGTTTCCTGGCTCCTCCCTCTTGCCCTTTTTGAAGACTGGAGTGATGTTGGTGTCCTCCAGTCCTCAGACACCACCCCCACCCGCCGTGACCTCTCGAAGATGATGGAAAGTGACTGAGCAATAACCCCCACCAGTTCCCTCAGCACTCTTGGGTGCCTCCCATCTGGGGCCATAGATTTATGAGTGTTCAGTTTGCCTAAATAGTCCTTGACCCAATCCTCCTCAACCAGTAGAAAGTCCTCCTCTCTCCTGGTTCTCTCTCTTGTCTCTGGGCTCTGTAGTTCATGGAGACTAGCCTTACCAGTAAAGACAGAAGCAAAGAAGGCATTTAATAACTCTGCCTCTCTATAACCTCCATCACTAAGGCACCCTCCCCATTCAGCAGTGGACTAACATTTTCCCTAGCCTTCCTCTTGCTGCTGATGTATTTATAGAAGCCTTTCCTGTTGTCCCTGACATGTCTCGCTAACTTTGATTCCAAACAGGCCTTGGCCTTCCTCGTTGCATCCCTGCATTCTCTGACAATGTTCCTATATTCTTCCCATGTGGCCTGACCCTTCTTCCACATTACGTATGTGCTCTTTTTCTCATTAATTTTACCTAAGAGCTCCTTGCCCTACTGCTGAGTAGGTACTGCTGCAGGTACCTACTACCTGCAGGTACCGAGTACCTACTGCTTTTACAAATACAGCTACAGTATTTAAATCAAATCAAAATAACAATTTAAGTTAAATCAAATACAGTATTTAGGCATTTCCTTTATAGTAATAACTTCTACCCTGTTCTTTCCTTGTTAGTGGTTAGGAATTAAGATTTTGTTGCTATCTATGAAGATGAGAGGGACAGAGAGGTGATCATGGTAGCACTGGAAAATAATCTAGATGAAAAGAATATTGCATGCTTACCAAACTCCATGGGCTCACTCCATTCTCCCCAGTTTGAGTTTACAAGACAGCTTTTCCCACGTGCTCTGATTTTCAAAATATATATATTTTTAGCATTGAAATTTTGAAATTCGTATCTGTAGTTCCTTACCTAAAATCAAAGCAATTAAACTTGAGTTTTTCACCTCATATGCAAGTTTTAATTTCCTGGTTCAAGTTATATAGCAGAGTAATTGTATATTTTACTAGGTATCTTGTGGTGAAATATTCTTCTCTCTAAATTTGAAAACATGAAAAATTCCACAGAACTATATTCTATATGAATATATTGTATGCTATTTGTATGCTGTTCAGGGCAAAAGCACTTTTTTTTTTTTTTTTTTTTTTGGGTAGTACAAGAAAACTTACTTTTACAGAAGGCTTCATCTTCTCTTCTTTGGGCTCATCCTGAAAACCAAATACAAATCTTAATTTTTATGATTTTCTTAGCAGATAACCAAATATTTCTTTCTCTTTTGTACTCTGTTTCTTGCTTATAATGATATAAGTAGTTTTCAACTGAAAAAAAATCAGTCGGTGATTCTGTGCCAATAGTATCTCAGAATGTAGCATTTTACTCAGAGTTTTGGCTTTGCCTGTTTAATTTTGAAAAAAAAAAAGGAAAAATAAATTATAAAATAAAATAATATTTTTCAATTGTTGTATGAAGTTACATTTGCCTCTGAATGTATGTATTACAGGTCTGCATGATCTATGCTCAGAGTTTTCCCAAAATCCTGTGAAGAGTTATACATCCTACACATTCAAGATGATTGCTTTGATTAGAACAAAACATAAGCCTGGATCAAAGAACCCCCAAAATGTGGAAAATCTAAGACAGAAGCAAGTAAGCAAGGAAACCAAATGGGAAAACAAAATCACAAGCAGTGCTCTTAATAAGGATCCCAGAAGACCCTGAAAGGCTGAGGTCCTTAAAATATTTCTCACATGCAATCACAAAAAGATAGCTAGTGTTATTCAAAAACCTATTACTGAAAGGAAAGTTTCATTTCAAAAAATGCATCCACTTTGTTTGAGGCCTTATAAATTAGACCTTAACGCTCCCATAACTCTCTGTTTGATGAGTTCCTCATAACTCTGTTTGATGAGTTCTTTCAGGTTTGGACATCGGTGGAAATCCTTCCTGTACTGCAGGCAGTGTGAGTGCACTGAGTTGCCTAAGCTTAGGCATGTTTAGTTGCTACATTTCAGCTGCTACAGGGTATCCTACCTTGCTTCATGCGACTGCTCCAGAAAGGTATTTGTTATATCTGCAGTCCCTGGGCAGTTACATCAGACACCCAGAGCATCTCAAGGGGTGCAGGGTACCTATAGATCCACTGCTGAAGGGCGCCCTAGATACATGCTGACTACAGCGGGAGAATATCTTGTATGCAGACACCTACATCTGGTTGTTTTAATACGTAAGATGAATTTCACATGAGCATGTGGGAGTCTTATTCTAAACCTGCACCTCATCTACACATTTTGGTGAGATGAATCCCTCCCATTCTGAGTGCTGCATAGGGAAGAAAAGGTATCATATTTCTTTAAAGAAAATATGCTTTCATCATATTGTATTAGTCATATGTTATAGCCTGTATCTTTACATAAAACTTTCTAAATTTCTAAGTACAACACGCAAGATCTTATAGTCATATTGTACCGGTCAAAAGCAAAACTATGAATACCACAATTTCTCATTGAAAGAACTACAAAGGTAGATACCATGAATGCATTTAAGATGCACAATCAAGGCAATCCAAATTGTCTGCAGGCTGTATAAGCTACAGACTTTGTTTTGAGTATAATCATGAGATTTAATGAGGTATTGGCCTACTATAATCATATGTTTATGTTTAGCCCTTAACTGATCTTTCCCGTAAGGCTTTTGTATTACAAAGGCTAAAAAAATTCCACTACCCTAAGTGTTATGACGGTGGCTGGGAAACACAGTAAGCAGAGACTACTTATCTTTCAGAAAATAGAAATTATCCACATGCTCTAATCACATGATAGTAAAACAGAGATAGGGAGGCAGAGTACTCATTCTTGTCTCCATGTCAAATTTGGGGTCTCTAAGGATTTTCCTAGCCTCATTCCTAAAGCTCCCAGAACAAAGGACGTTTTCAACTTTTTGATCTTTTGTCTATTAAAAAAAAGAAGTCCTTTAGGCACTGAGATCTGTGGAGGAAGATTTGACACCTCAGTCCTGCTATGCTTGATGGAAGCTGGTCATATATATGGTAAAGAGACATACTGTGTATTGTCCTGTACTTTTCTTATGATTACCTAGTAATTTGGTAATTAAATTGGTAGTGCTCTGCATATAGAGTAGGATAAGTCCCAGTTTGCTTTTGGTATTTACATGGTAAGTGTTTACATCTGAATTGATCATCATCAATTTCTCTTATAATCAGTGGGAAGAAGGAAGCACTTTAAGGACACTGTTTGTCCATCTACCCTAGAACGAGATGAATAGCGCTGCATCCAACTACACAGAGTGCATCGGGTAACTAGCTGAAAAGTAAAAATACCTACTGCTGATGGCTGCACTGGCCTTGTGCAACACTCCCCCACTCAGTTTTTCAGAAAAGGGGCTTCTGTTTCAACACCGCTTCCAAACAGACGGTTTTGGTGAACATTGTGTAGAAAAATGGGGACTGGTGCAGGCCCAGCAGGCCCCATGGGAAGGCCGCCTTCTGAAGGCAACACATCAGGTTCCTAATGGGATGATGGGAAGGTGGTGGAGCAGAAGGGACTGTCCCATGTGTTGAATGAAGTTCAGAGGCCGAATTGCCTCCAGGAACCAGCTAGAGGACTGGATGGTGCTGAGGCTGTCGCGAGGGCGAGAGCGGCGTGCGTCGTCCCTGCTCCCGCGCTGCCATCGTGTGGCCATTGGGCGCGATTCTTTGGAAACTAGCTTAAATCTGCTCTCTTGATCTCTGAGTTTCTCTGCACTCTCTGTGAACTAGTTGGAATAAAAAGTGTAAATTTGACCCTTCATAACCGTATGCTCCTTTCCTCCAGTTTTCTGCATTTCTTGTTGTTCTGAGCTAGGGTACTGAGCAGCAGGGTGCAGGAATGGCAGGACCAAAGCGGGGGAACACCACAGCTTAGGAGACTGAAGTTAATAAACGAAGGGCACACAGATTTATTTGTGTGCATGTATGTAGGCATAGTGCCAAATAAAAAAACAATAAATTGTTTTTACCTTGTTTTTTATGTTAATTTCATATTGAAAGCAATCTTTATTTTCCACATGACTTGTAAGGGGTTCTTGCCACTCAATAATGCAACCTCGTGGCTCACTAGTACAATTGGCAGTGATATTTAATGGAGCAGTGAGTCTTTCTGTAATGAAATAAAATGATCATTTTAGACATGGTCAATAATCAGCCATGATTCATGTGTTCATAGCAAAATACACCAGTATTTGAGGCAACTTGTGTACAGCTATGTGCTACTGATTGTTGTTAACCCATATCATCTAGTGCAGAGGAGTAAAATTCAGTAGCAAAATTAGGCAATTAGGTATCAGGTGCAACTGAGGTAACTGGAGTTCATGTAAAAGAGGTTTGAAGGCCTTTGGGTAATTCAGCAATACAATCGGCATTATCTCTCTCTTTTTTTTTTTCCTCTAAATATTGACTACGCAGGTCACCACAGAAGAAAGGATGGAGGTTATACATAATCATAATGTTTACCTACAAGATAAAGTCATCAGAATACTACTGATTGTTGTTAACTCGCATCATTTAGTATAGAGGAGTAAAATTCAGTAGTAAAATTAGGCAATTAGATATCAGATGCAACTGGAGTTCATGTAAAAGAGGTGTGAAGGCTTTTGTGTAATTCAGCAATACAATCAGCATTATCTCATTTTTTTTTCTCTAAATATTGACTATGCAGGTCATCCTAGAAGAAAGGGTGGAGGTTATATATATCGTAATATTTACCTACAAGATAAAGTCATCAGAATAAGAGTGTCCAGAATGCAGTTGTCTATATGTGAGCCAGGTGTCTGTCCATTCATTATAGCCAGTGAAGACCTAGCTGGTGCTGCCCATGTTTGTCTAAGTCAGCTCAGCTAAATACCTCATGGAACGTCACGATCTGTGCTGACTACTGGCAGGACTCAGTTGCTTGAACATAGCTGTGTCCTATGGTGGCCAGATGGGCAGTGGTCTCTCACCAGTCCTAGGTGACATCTGTGAGCCTTGTGTAGGTCTTGAATATTTTACTGTGTCTCCAGTGACCCTAGATGTACATTTTTAGGCATCAGAATTCTGCCCTAGATCTGTCTGAAAGCTTAAACATTTAGCTCATATATGGGTAGTATCTACATATTTAACTTAAACCACCTTAATTTGCAAACTGCATCCTCCCTCTGGTTTTAGGACACTTTAATCTTGTGGCTTTCAGAGAAACATGGAATTATGGGAGCGGTGGACAAGACCCTCAGCATAATAAAGTAATTAGAAATCTGGCCTTGAAAATATAATCTTTTCATTTCATTACTTAGAATAACTAGGTATGTTCATACCCCTTCTATGAGCTGTTGTTTCAGGCTGTCTCTGCATTTGTTTTAGCCTATTTTCAGAACTATACTTTTTCAGCTATCAAAAACCAAAACCTGCCCTGCAGGTTAGAATCTTCTAATAGCTACAGACTTTGTTTTAGTTTTTTTTTATTATTATTTATTTCCCTTTTTGTCTTCAGAAGTAAATTCACTACTTCCTTTCTTGTATACAAAATCAAATAAATAAACAAACAAAAAAGCCAAAACTTACCAATTTTGTACAGTCTAATGTACTCATCATAGAACCGAATCAGGGAGACTTTGCTAGAGCCATTCACCATGAAGTAAGTAGTTGTATCTTTTATAGTCACATTTTGGAATTGACATCCCTTGTGCCTCCCGTTTTCATCTTTAACATAAAGCTCACATTGTGTTTCTTCTTCTTCTCTGTGTGCAGCAAAGTGTTTAAGCTGAATACTTGCAGTGGCATGTGTTAGACCAATATTAACTCCCTAGAGCTAAGCAAACCTACTCACCTTGAGTTCTTCCAATAGAGAAAATACTGGGTATCGCCTGGAGCATCCCTGCCCGCACTCCAAGTGCAGTTCATAAGGGAGACATTGTAAATCACACAGGAGAAATTTCTAATGGCTGTCCCGGGCATGCCTGAAACATAGCAATGTCCCAAATCACTTGTGAGGGAAAATTGTATGACTGCTCCAAGTCAGAAGATCTCGGCATCCACTTAGGCATTTTAGAGACCTACAACTTCAGTTGACTATTACTTGGGTTTAAGAATGATGATTTTTAGCATAAGTAGCATAAGTGGAAGACATTTGTGTTGTGTTCAGCACGGATTTTGTTTCAGGCACAGTTAAAATTAAATCAGCTAGATTAAAGTTCAAAGGAACCTGTATTTCTAACACAATCAAATTTCTAATATAATCTAATACAGATTGACCTCAACACTGGCTGCTCCTGTGCTTTGATCTGTCCCTTGTAGTTTCCCGGCTGTTCCAGATCAAAATGAAATGCTTGTGTCATACCACTGAGAAAGGCAGAATCTGCCTTTTAGCCTCCTGGACCCTATAGTAGGCTCTGCAATCCTGTGAGATCTATCTCAGATTTCTGTGGCCTCTGTGGGAAGAGTCAGGAGCCTAACCAACGTCTGCAGAGAGGAACAGAAACTTGAGTGCAGAGCAATGTGTGGTGGCCAGAGGAAACTGAGCAAACAGGACTCTCACACTGTTTTGGCTACTTCTGAACTGTGAAACCTGAGAGTGATTGCAGCCCTGCAAGGCGTGTTTGCCTTTAAAAGCATTCTTAGTGCTACCGAGACATACATTTGGGAATAACATTTAGAAACTTCTCCTGACCTGTTTATACACTCTGTTTAAAAGCAGACTTCTAAAAGCAAGGTGGGACTTGTTTTTCCTCTCTGATCAAATAACCCAGCAGCTAGAGGTTTCCACTGTGGGAAGGAAGTGGCTTCATCACTTCCTTTTCTGAAGCACGTTCAAAGCAGAAACTCCTGTTCTTCAGAAGCTTCCTCTCCACTGGGTTGTGCAGTCATGTTTAGCCTCATTCTCTTTTCCTTCAGTACTCTTTCTGAAAATTCTTCTGGCACGTCACAACATCAGCAAAAAGATCTAGACACTTTCCCTGTTACTGCCTCCCGTCTTCCATAGCATCCTGTACCGAGGCTGCTCTTGGGGAAGCAAGGTTGGGCTTCTCATAGGGAACCTGCACATTAGGCCAGTTATGGAAGAACGTCAAAGGCAGAGGGTTTTAAAAGGCAATGTGCTGTATTTTGAGGAGAACCATGAGAACGGTTCCTTTGCCAAGTTCCAAGAAAGAGATGAGTAGGGGAACACTCTGCTTGGGCGTGAGTGAGCTGCTATCTTGTCACCCCCTAAGAGTGTGAAACCCTCTGGTTAAGCACAGCAGCAGAACCACTGATGAGTGGGCAAGTTCAGTGGAAAAAAAAAGACAAGAGGGAAATGGAAAACGGACTATTGAAATCTCTACTTTGGAATTAAGAATCTAGGATCTGCCTAAATCACATTTGGAATAACACATAAAGGGAGCAGGTAAACAATTATCTTGACTCCATGGGTGTGCACCAGGTGTGGGTGCCAGGGACAGATGAGGAGATTACTACCTTCAGTTGAATCCTAGTTGCTTATCACCAGCATCTCCTTTCCTCTCTCCTCCTCATATTCAACCAGTTTAATTGATTTCTTGCCTCTTCCTTTAGCTAGTCCTGTGATCTGGGTCCTGACAAACTCACTAACAGCCCAGCAGAAAAGCATGTAGTTTTTTTATGCTTAAGCAGTTTCAAATGGAGAAAATCTTACCCAGACCATAAAGCATTACCTCCAGGGAAAAAATTGCAGGTTTTAGAGATGTTCATGTTTGGTACCGCAATAGTAAATTTTGCCCCATTGTGGAGAGGCAAGGTTACCTTTGTTGAAAAGTGGCATGGTGAACTCTTCACCTGGAAAATAAAGAGGATGATTTATTTCTCTGTTTTTCTTCTGCCCTGATAGATGATATTGACTCTGGAAGCACAGGTTAGCAACTCAGCTCATAAGGACAGAATCAAGTTTATATATGAGTTTATTAGGCTTATGGACTAACACCAGTCGAGGGTAATGCAGTTGAGGGAAAGCACAACTACACAAAAAGCTTTCCAACTCTGGAGCTAGGTGCTATACTGTTGTGTTAATATTAGGGGAAGCTAATAATACCCTAATGGCACAACAGAGGATGGTTAATAAAAGAAGGAAACAAAATGGAATTTAATCAGAGGATCTGAGAAAAAGGTAAATAGAAGGGATTCCTCACTGATGTGTCCTCATCTGATGTCCCCTGTGGCTAAGAAAGATGATAGCCTATGGCATTATGCTTATGTCTTCTAAAAAATGCTTATAGTCTTCAATAAAAGAATGATGCATTATTTTAATACATTTTTCTAACTAAGGAATCTACTTTGCTAAAATGAATAAGCCCTCTTTCTTCAGCTCCCTGAGCTTATAAAATGACCTACTCTAGAAGCATGATCTGGTTTACTGAGAACCAGTTTGTGAAGAATATAAGATACTGAACATGCATAACTATCTGGGGAATTCACTTTTCTCTTGAAAGGTCTCTCTTTCTCTCTTAGATTCTCATTCTCTGCCCTTCTTGCTTAATGTTACAATTTGATTGTCTGATCCATACCCCAACTCAGTCACTGGGGAAAATCTCTAGGTGTCTCAGTCTTACTCTCCTTTATTTCAGCAGCTAGAGTCCCAGAGCCCACTTCAGCTGAGTTGCAGCTCAGGCTCCTTCCACTTTGGTCTCCCCAGTTTTCTGGTACACACAGGATGCTCCTCTCACAGTCAGCCCATGTTAGCACTTGCACCTTTCTGCAGTTTCCAGACAAATAAAAATGTAGACAACTACGAATC